CCTTTATAAAACCATATGAAAATCTAACCAAAACCTCGGATGTCAAGGGGATCCCTAATTCCTTTGGATTTTCTATTATACCCCCCTAATGACCTCAAACCTCCCCCTAATTCATTATGGTCTGGCTCCTTTTAAAAATGGTACAGCCCCTTTTAAAATGCTCATGAGGAATTTTGAGGGTCCCGGATTTATTATCTATTATTAGGGTGGGTTTTATTAATATGGGGAACGGATTATATTCCTTGTATAAAATAATATACCCCAAAAAGAGGTTACAATCTTACTCGATATTGGGTATCGTAGTATCCCCAAATAAAATACTACTTAAAACCTGCACCTCAAAGGCTTGCACGCCCTGAACCCTTGCCCAAACTGGATCCTGAACCCTTAGCTGGAACTGGATCAGCCCTACTTCTTACTGGGAATTAGTGCAGGAAATATATGGGCGGTTGTCCAAATTATGGTCCCTTTTTGGGTCCCTATTATAATACGGCACCTAATATTTAGGGTACCCAAAAAGGGACCATAATTTGGACAACCACCCATATCAGATAAGGCTAATGTAGGGAATGTACACTCATCACCTGCAAGCCACCAGTAAGACCAGCAGGACTTATTATGCTATACCCCTAAGGGTCCAAGGACCCAAATCATAGGGTTTGAGGCTCAAGTTTGAGGGCCCAAATACCATTAATCTTATAGCATTTGGGCCCTAAAACCCTATGAATTGGGTCCTTGGACCCTTTAGGGTTAACCAAAGCTCTAAGCTGCAATCCCCCTATCACCCATCATTTCAAGAAATCTCCGAATTCCCTACACGCAATTACCCTATAGACCCCGGGCCCTCCAATTTAAAGCCTACATCCGAAATCCTAAAAACACGTATTATTGTAGGCTCTAAGCCCGACATGCTACGCCCTCCCACGCTCTAAACCCAAATGTATGTCCCCAACCCTCATGCCCCCCCTCCCCTCCCAACCGGTCAGTGCCTGTGGAGTCGGTGCGATGGGTTCGCAGCAGCCAGGAGGAATTCTCGGTTAAGCAGATACTGGATGTACCGAAGCTGATCCTCGGAACCAATGATGGAAAGCGACGTCAGAGAGAAACGGAAGGGGCAACGGAAAAACAACTAAAACGGGCTATAGATTGTACAGGTGTTATGTGGCAGTTATGGGGGGGGGTGGGGAGCGGGGGTTGGGTGGAATAAAGTTGGCCTTTTTGAGAAGCCCCAAAATGTTTTAGCATAGGGTTTATAAGTTGAGGTTCAGGCCACATGAGCTTTGAATTTGGGTTTGGGATTTAAGGTCCAGATTAGGGTGCTTTCAGTTGCAAAATGAGGGCATAATTAGGATATTGTTTAGGAGGGGGGCAATGTTGCCACGATGATCCTTAGAGAAGAATAGCTCTTTTGGAGGAAACAGGCCTCGATGGCACAACTGCAAAGTTCATAGAACAGAGTCTCGCTGCATGCTCATTGGACCGGCTTGTCAACGACTAGCTTGAACGGTTACGCGGCGCGAAGCACAGGTTGAAAGGACCAAGGGGTTCAAGCTTCTACGACTTACAGGTTCTAAGTAGGGAATAAGGGAACATGTTCTATTGAGATTATGTAGGGATTACATTTCCTGAGTCCCTACTAAGAACCAGTAAGACAAGTCACATGTGCAGTGGGCTTTATTGTCGCCTGCTGTTACCTACTCTTCGCACTCGAGGCTCGCGGCAAGGACCCGGTCCCCCCCACGCCCCGCGAGGCAAAAGAAGTACATGTTAAATGCTGGGTTGCAGCTTAGGAACTTGCATTAAGGTACATCGTTAATGGTAGGGCTTCCGCTTTTACAGCAACTTAAGATAAGTTCATTGACAGCGACCCCAGATGAGGGTGCCATAGGGTTTTAGGCCCAAATACTGCTATAACATTAATGGTATTTGGGCCCTAAAACCCTATTAGTTGGGTCCTTGGACCCTTATGGGATGGTTCCTAGCAACAGGGTTTAGGGTTTTTCTATGCATCATGTTGGACCCCCTCCAAAAATGCATACAGCGTCCAGGTGTAAACTACTGTGTCTCCGCTATAAGCAAGCCGCCTTGAAACCTTAACCTAAACGAATGTCAGTTTATGTAGGGCCGTCAGATGTACAGGATTACATTCGCAAGTGTGCAGGCTTCAACATTGCAGGCTTGCCAAGGGTCATTCCTCTCACAGTCTGGAGGATGCGTAGGCGAAGAACACAGCTGCACAATCTGTGGTGGACAGCCATCCAACTCCCAGCGTCCTTGAATCCCATCAGCCACCTGGGAATCGGTTTTGTTTTTTGAGCTTCCCGCTGCTTCAAGAGTGGAGCCCAAACAGAGGGGGACTCAAAGGGGGCTGGTGGAGCCTGGAACTGACAGGTAAAACTCACGCTGAATCCCAGATCCAAAACCTCGAAGTCCCCACTTTTAGCGCCAAAACCTACCTTCACTGTCCGAAATCAGCTCCCCAAAATATTAAAGGTTTAGGGTTTGGGTTTATGGCTTAGGGGTCTCGGGTTCCTTAGTGTGGTGTATTGTCATATATTGGGATGTTTTTCAAAATTAGGGTGGTGGGGAGGGGGTTACCCAAATAACATCTACTTGGACCTGAATGGCTACAGAGGAACCACCTTGGGTTCAAACTACATCCAGTTTACGTGGCCGGACCCTTTCGGCCACTTCTCTATTTGCACCACCTTTTGGGGAAGAAAAGTCCCTATATTTTGCCCAGCTTCTGTGTACTTGGTGTACCCCCTGCCCACGTCAACGACGATTGTTGGCACGGCGGCAGCTCGAGCTTGCAGACGAGCCCGCCAATCCTTCATTTGCTTATATCTCCTCTGGGGGTTGCCCACAAGTAGGCGGTACATTTGAAGGGGTTCCAGGGTCTATGTCGGGATATATCGGGTTGAAAAGGGTATATGGCGGGCTACATAGGGTTTAGGGCTTCCAAAACATTAGTGGGCTCTTTTTGGAAGTCCTTGTCACGAGCAAGGGCTGTAAGATATTGCAGTCCATGGTCTCCGTATTTACTGCAACCACTGCTGAGGGTTCAGGGTTTTCGTAGAAGTCAGGCTTGAAGGGTTTTGAGGGATTAAATGAGAGTTTCTGAAAAAATCCTGCAATCCTGCATTTGGGACCTTGACATCCCATTAGCGCCCTACATGTCCCTAAGGTCCATAATGCCGCCAACCCTAAACCCTAAAACCTTAAAAACCTTAAAAACCTAAACCCTCAACCCTAAAAACCTAAACCCTAAACCCTTTGGGAAGTCCGGAGTTTCCAGCTTATGGGGCTTTAGAAGCTTGACGGCTTGCAGTTTTGGAGTCAGAGGTTTTGAAGTTGGTTTGGTGGTGCAATTGCGAGGATAAAGATTAGGTGGACCCCCCCACCCGGTAAAACAGGAATATGAGAGGACTCATGTGATCACCGTCATCCCGTATAGTCACAATTACTGGGAGTGGGCTCCACCTGAGGTATAGGGTTTATAAATAATTTGGGGAGTTGGGGGTTGAGGGGTGTACTGCATAGGGGTGTTTGTGTATGAACAAGGCTTCTGGTATATAATGGGATCCACCACAAATGCTCTCACCTGGCATGTACCCAGCGGTTAAGTATATCGGGATGTATAAATCTAGCAGCAGAGGGATATTTTGGGTTTGAGGGCCATAAACCCTAAACCCTAAACCCTAAACCAGGGTTGGGTTTACGGATTTTTCAGTTTGGGGTTTGGGGCCAAGAAGTGAGATAGTTGGCAACCCAAAGGCTCTCGTCTAGTTCCTTGTGTAGCCCAGCCTACGGGTCCGAGTAACCCAAAGTCAGGTACTTGGGATTTTGGCAATGGTAACTATAGTACAGGATTTGTGTAAGTATATGATTACTAAGTACTTGGACCCTTAAGGTAGCCGAACAATCGCAAATGTGAGCTCTTACTCGAACACTACGACAGCAAACATAACGCAGCCTCACGGCAACCATAAGAATAAAGACACAACGAGGCCTGGGTCAAGCGCTTAGGGAGAGGTCAAGGTTTGAAGTTCTAACATTGCTGAATCATAGCTTGTGCTGTGCGTCTTGCCAGATATATGCTTCATAAGCTTCTAGCAAGAGCCCACAAAAAGTTCCAGCTCTACCCTTTCGCGGCCAATCACTGAAGAAACGCTCAAGTTCCTCTAATGTACACCTCCGTCAGCTGGGTGTGGTTTCATTAGTGAGGGGAACTGATGATAATGTGCTGCCATGAAGAGACCATACAAGTTTAGCAACATCATCGCGAGTACTGTTGCTGATATTGACTCGCAGTGTATAACGAATAGCATTATTTGTGGCGACTCGTAACACTCTCTTCACTGTAGGTACAATTTCTAACCTGCTTTCATCTTCTACATGGGGGTGTGCGAAAATGGGTGGTCCCTGTGTTTGGGAATTTTTCAATCAGCACCCCATTGCTGGACGTGAGCCCTGAACCCCTCACCAACTTATGCTTCTGCGCTAGCATCGATGCCAACAGGCGTGGTGGTGCCTTCGGCAAAGGCTAGCAGCGCTCCTGTGACTCTATTGATGCATTTAGGCTTAAGGGCTTAAGTTCGTTTGGGGATCACGGTGTAGGGTTCAGGGTTGGAGTTTATTCTGAGTTTTAAAAGGAGACGCTCAGGGCGCCGGTCTATCGAGTTTCTGAATTTGTGGAACCCTGTGTACCCCAAAATCTATAATAATTTGTAAGGCCCCTCAGAAGAACCAATGGTTTGGAGAAACCCTAAGCTTAAACTCCTGAAGTTTGAAGCAGAGTAGGAATGCTTACAACTCCCCAAGCAAAGATCCTTACTAGGGGTTAGTAGGGAATATGGGAATATAATCCCTATATAACCCCCACATAATATAATATTCTCTCATTCCCTATTAACCCCCAGTAAGGATATCTTCAACATCCTGCAATCCTTTCCCCGTAGTATGGAGCACTGTGCCCCGAGATTAACATGACCTTATGCATCGGAGATCCTACAGACAACAAGGCGCGGCGGATGGACGCCCGTAGAAGGAGGGGTTGTGCTTAGCCCCATGGAACTGCAGGTGCCCCTTGCTCCCTAGCTTTTAGGGTTCGGCTCTGGGAAATACGTGACTCAGGTTCTAAGGTTTGTAGCTTAGGGATCATGCCTGAGAGTTCAGGGATCTAGGATTTGAGCCCTAAACCTTGCACCCAGAACCCAACCCTCAACGCCTAAATCCATGAGCCATTTATATAGGGTTCAGCGTTCTGTGTGCCTGAGGGCGGCCAACAGGTTCGCATGAAGAGGTGGAACCAAAGCTCCGCATCCATGGCTTCCTGCGCTAGGCAGAGTTTAGGGTCCAAAGGCATAGTACAAAACACTAGTTTGCCTGGCTATAATTTGGGCTTTCCCACCCAGTTTTCTGCGCGTGGGCCATGTTTGCGCCATTCATCGGCTTCACGTCAGGCTCAACGAACATAAAGTCTATAAGGGCCAGAGAAGAAGCAACATGATTTCTAAAGACTATCTCCGAGCTGATATTACCGATCGCACGGCGACTTGTAGCCATGCTGTCTATGCAGGAGAATAAAAGGCCGTAGGCTGATACTGGAGCTGGATTCTCTGTGGTGAAATATGTCTTCCATTTTCGGGCTGCGTGGGTGTTTACTGGGCAAGAATTTGCATGGTTAACACCCTTTTTGAGTGCTGGAACCTAATGTAACGGTGCTACGCAGGGTCTCATCAAGATCACGTGCGAGCTGGATGTAGGAACTCCTGCAAGAAATGCCATGTAGCAGTTGCACCAACAGTTCCAATCAACTTGTGAATGAAAGTCTTCCAGGTCTCTCACATTGGTTTTGCAGATACAAAACAAGGCCCATATGAACCATAGTCAAAAACTCCTAGCATCCCCCTGCAAAAACCCTAAAATACTCCCCTTTGAAGAGTTTAGACTATGCTCATATGCCATCCTATACAGGCATTCATATAACCACTGTATAATCCCCATATCCAATATAACCCATTAAGTATTTCTGTCATTACTAAAGCCCTATATATCCCCAATAGGACCCCAATATAACCCGAATATGACCCCATTATATAACCCTAACATAACCCTAATTCACCTCGCCCCCGCCGCGCCTGTGAGAAGAGTTTACAGGTAGGCGCAAAACGCCCCACATCGGACATCTCCAGGCTCCACACTACGCCTGCGCAGACCTCGATGGCTCTTGCTTTAGAGCCGCCCATATTAGGAGTTAGGGTTTAGGGTTTGCGCATGGGTTTGGGATGCAGTCATGTCAGGGATGCAGATTTAGCGCTGACAAGTTTCTGCCTTGAGGGTGGGACGGTGGCGCCCGAAGGCCAGCAAGGAAAAGGTGTGCTTGTGACGTTTGTCCTACCTACGGGCTCTATCAGGGCCCTCTAGTCTAAGCAATAACGGGCTAAAACGGAAACAACATTGGAAAATACTAAGGCTTCTACAATAGAACCCACAAGTCATCTTTCGTCCGTTCTCAAATTCCCTTCCGCGTCTCCATGCATGTTGAGCCTGGCGTTTCGAGCTTGTGAGATTGCACGCTTCGTGCAACCTCTGGGCTACACGTTTATGAAGTTATATATATATATACATATATGTATATTACAGGGTTTAGGGTTTAGGGTGGATGTTGCTGGGTTTGCCGCCTGCGTCATCCCGAAACCCTAATCCGCATCAGTGAAGCCCAAGGAGCTTCCGCAGCACTGAGTTGTTGATCTGCAGCTGCATTCAGCTAGACATACTCTTGAAAAAGACCAACTACTTGCCCTCCGAACCGTAGATGACGCATTGTTGAAGAAGATTAGTAATAGTAGTAGTATGAGTACAGCTGATGATAACCCCTTGGCTCTTGTCTTACAATTGCTATTGCTGTTACACTTTTACTACTAGGTCCTGAAACAAGGAAACCTACTCTGCCTCGTGAGGCATGAGAGCCAAGTGGAGGCTGTTCATGTTGTCGCCAGGGTCTTCCATGGAGCAGGGGCAAGCGGATCAGTCTGAAATGAAGCTGTCTTCCGCTGGGAGACATGCAAGAATCTACAGCTTGTGGCTGCTGCCAGCTTACTGCCACAGTGCAGCGGCAACACTGTCTTGATGTTGGAGCTCTCTTTGCAGGGTTCGATGAGATATGATTTTGCTTGACTGCTACACTACAAACTCCTTGATGCACATGACGGCAGCGAAGAACATTGGTCAACACTTCCCTAGCGTCCAGCCTGTTGCGAAATCAAGCAATGCAACCTCATGACAACCACCGGGCTCTGAATGGAATCCTAAACTGGGTTTACTGTTGAGGAATTGCCATGGTATGGGTATGTAGTGTTGGGTTTCTTACTACAGTAGCTTAATTCCAGTTTCTTGACAGCAACCAAGTAAAATGCTGACAAACGCTCCTTCAGTCTCACCACAGATCTGGAGCTAGACCCTGGCCAAACGCTCTGAAACTTGGTTTAGGGTTGAGGGTTAATTTAATTGACTCCTATGCCGTGAACCCAGAACCCTAACCCGCAAGGCAGAAATGCAAAGGCCTGATTTCTGTTTCAGACACCAGTCGAAATTGTGTTTTGAACTGCCAAAACTTGGCTGCTTGGGAAGATTTCATAGGTAGAGAAGTCATGGGGATTACTCAGCTAGGGGCTTCGCTTATACTTACCCTAAGGGTCCAAGGACCTAAATAATAGGGTTTTAGGGCCCAAATACCAATAGCATTATAGTATTTGGGCCCTAAAACCCTGTTATTTGGGTCCTTGGACCCTTAGGGTTATACTTAGATGACTTCCTGAGCACCCCGAGCATCCAAGAACATTATGCTGTCAGAAACACGTTCGTCGCAGCCAACCGAAAGCAATGCGGGCAAACATGCAGTACATTGGGAGGGTTTAGAGTTTAGGGTTTAGGGGGCATGTTGGGATAACCGAAAATTATATGGAAACTACTATAGGTTTAGGGTTTAGGGAGAACACGTACCCCAAATCGATGCAATTGAAATCCCTAGAACCAAGCTTTTTGGGGGATCCGTCCAGAAGCTCCAAACCACCCCAAGGTGTCCTGGTCGAAGAGCTTACATTGTAAGGATGCTACAGCGTAGTCTGGACTCCAAGCATCCCCCTCAAAAACCCAATAATGGTCCCCTATATGATCCCCTATACAACCCCTTTCAAGGAGTTAGACCCCAAACCCTAAAGACTAAACCCTATATAATCCCCTATATAAACCCCCCACACAGCCAGAACAGCTTGCAGACGTAGCCCGCTTCCACTTCTTTTTGCAACAGCGCATTTGCTGTCACTGCAACCTTGGGGATCCAGACCTTGATTGCCTACTACTCCCTAAAACCCGAAGCCCAATCGCTGAACACAACATAAGAGAGAGACAGACAGAGAGAGAGAGAGAGAGAGACTTTGAAATTTTAGTTCCATGGCGCATGTCCTTACCAGCCACCAGTACAATCCCTAGACCTTAAACCCTAGACCCTAGCAACCCCAAACCCTAAACCCGTAGAAATTCCTTCCTTATCCTCCCTTCTTCTCGGGTTTCTCAGAGCCCGCTGACTCGCTGTCCTGCTTTCCTGGGCAATTCTCGGAATGCTATGGCCCTACCCTGTGGTCATTCTTTATGGTGTAGTAGTATACTATATATATATATATAATAAATAGAATGATAGCATAGTCGTATAACAGTATAATCGTCTACTAATTAACATAATAGTATAGTAGCACGCAAAATTGGAGATCTCTTGTTGTCCTTGTTCGCCGTCTAAAGCACGACAAGGTCCATAACAAGGATACGGTGGACTAATTCTTCATGACGGAAAGCGCATTATACCTGGCAAAATTATGGGATAATAGTATACTGCGGTCATGCAGGGTCTTGAATATCAACAGTACTGGACCCCAAAAGTAGGTAGAACGATGGCCCAAAACCCCTTAAAACAGCCCCAAGGCCGCCATTCTACATACTTTTTAGGTTTTGGAAGGACCCAGAAAACCGTCAAGGGGCACAGAACGGCTCATGGTTAGGACCAGAGCAACAGGATTTCATGGTCTACTCCTCATGGGCTGAGTTTCCAGTCACCCTTAGGGTTTAGGGTTTAGGGCTTAGGGTTTAGGGATTACGGCTCAGGGTTTAGGGTTCGGGTCCCTGGGCTACTTGGGTGAGGATCTGTTGCACGTGACCTCCTCAGACTATTGATGAAAACCGGACGGGGACTTGGTTGGTTTCAGCTTCTGCGATGGAAGCTCAGTTTCCGACACAATATACTTACCTTTGGCTAGCTAGGGATGAAGGAATGGATCCTTATAGTACTCCCTAATATGCATAACCCATTATAGCCGTCTCCATTTTCTTTACCATTCCTTCATTCCCAGCTAACCAAAGGCCAGTATAGTCAGTATAGTGAAACCTGCACTGTAGACCGGAGCTTCCAGTGGTGTTCAGCCTTAGCCCCCCCCCCCTCACCCCCCCCCCCTGTCTGCAGCGTCAACAGCTTCCCCAGATATCTGGAAATCCTTTCCTACAAGAATCCCCAGGGCGCCAAAAAATCCTGATGTTGGTAACATTTACAGACGTCTGGGCCCACTGTTGGTAACAGTTGCATACTTGGATCCCTAGGGGTGTTTTTTGTTTCAATGTTTTTCTTGAACTGTGAATGCCTCATCGTTGACCGTCACGGCATTTTCCGGGGGCTCTGTACAGATGTTATGGCACGAAGCAGGGCCTCTGTAACACCTATCAACTGGTTGCTAAACCCGTAAGTATGGTATGGTATACTGGGGATATAAAAGGAGATTATCCCCTCAATAGTGGAAAATCAGATGGAAAAGAACATGGAAAATGAAATGTAAACTGGGGGTATATAGAGGTTACATTAAGGTAGCTCGGAATGAAGAAGTGGAAAGAGAAAATGGAAACTACTATAATGGGTTATATAGGGACTACTAGACCTTCATTCCTAGCTGACCAAAGGTAAGGTTACGGGAAACTCCTGAACCCTAAAAAGTAAACTTCCAGGCTAGTTGTACACAAAGATTCTGCACGGATTATTGGTACTCAAGCACAAGAAGTTCTTCTCAAACCTGTCTCAGAAACTTAAGAACCCTCAACCCTCTCATTGCCCCCGAGCTACGTTGCTTGGGGGCAATGATCTTGTCCACGAGGCCCAAGGCTTGTGCCTGCGCACACACTGTTTCACATCAAAGAGGATTTTCGAGGCGTCTCCGTAGGATGCAGAATGCAACCTAAATCCTAAACGCCACATTCTCCCCAACGTAGCCCCCATAGTTTATGTAC